AAAAAAAAAAAAAAAAAAAAAAAAAAAAAAAAAAAAAGTCCCCAATCAAGCCTCATCCCCTTGGCCTATCATCTCTGGTTCACGATCAGAACCAGTATATTATTAGGTGAGAAAAAACTGAGCTTAGACAAGTCGACCCACGGCATGTACATACATGAGTTATAAAACAACCACGAAAGGACCGACACACCACTAAGCGAGAGAAAATTGAACTTGCATCATTAAGGCTACATCACATATATACATGAGCTATGAAACAACTAAGAAGGAACCGGTACATCACTAAGTGGGAGAAGGATTGAACTTGCACCATTGAGACCGCAACACATACATACATGAGCTATGGAACAACTAGGATGGAATCGGTACATCACTAAGTGAGAGAGGGACTGAACTTGCACCATTGAGACTTCAACACATACTTACATGAGCTATGGAACAACTAGGAAGGAACCGGTACATCACCAAGTAAATGGAGGACCGAACTTGCACGAATGAGACTGCAGCACATACATACATGAACTTTGGAACAACTAGGAAGGAACCGGAACATCATCAGTGAGAGAAATATTGAACTTGCGTCAATGAGACTACAACACATACACACATGACCTACGGAGCAACTAGGAAGGAACTGGAACATCATCAATGTGAGAGAAAGATTGAACTTGCACCAATGACAGTACAACACATACTTATATGAGTTATGAAACAACTAGGAAGGAACGGGTACATCATCAAGTGAGAGAACGACTGAACTTGCACTAATAAGACCACAACACACACATACATGAGTTATGGAACAGTTAGGAAGGAACCGGTAAATTGCCAAGTGAGAGATAGACCGAACTTGCACCATTGAGACTAGAACACATACATATGGAACTGCTACGGAGGATCCGGTTCATCACCAAGTGAGAGAAGGACTAAACTTGCACCACAGGGACTACATCACACACATAGATGAGCTAGGAAGGAACCGGTACATCACCAAGTGAGAGAAAAATTAAACGAAAGTCATTGAGACTGTAGCACATACAACCAGAAACTATGGAACAACTAGGAAGGAACCGGTGCATCACCAAGTGAGAGAAGGACGGGACTGGCACCATTGAGACTACAACACACATACACATGAGTTATGGAACAACTAGGAAGGAACAGGTATATCACCAAGTGAGAGAAGGACTGAACTGGCACCATTGAGACTGCAACACATACATACATGAGCTATGGAGCAACGAGGAAGGAGCTGGAACATCACCACTGTGAGAGAAGGGTTGAACTTGCATCAATAAGACTACATCACACACATATTCGAGTTATGGAGTCCCTAGGAAGGAACTGGAATATCACCAATGTGAGAGAAAAACTGAACTCACACTATTGAGGTTGCTGCACGTACATACATGAGTTATGGAGCAACTAGGAAAGCACCGTCACATTACCAAGTGCAGAAAGACTGAACTCGCACAGGCGAGAGTGCAACATATATATATATGCGAGTCATGAAGTCACTAGGAAGGAATCAGTACATCACTCGGTGAGAGAAAGATTGAATTTGCACCAATGAGACTACAGGACATACATACATGACCTATGAAGCAACTAGAAAGGAACCTCCATATCCCCAAATGAGGAAAAACTGACCTTGCACAAGTGAGAGTGCAACATACATACATGTGAGCTACGGAGCAACTAGGAAGGAAGCGGTACCTCACTAGGTGAGAGAAAGACGGAACTCGCACCAATGAGACTACAATACATACATACATGAGTTATGGAGCAATTAGGGAGGGATTGGTACATCACTAGGTGAGAGATAGACTAAACTTGCACTAATGAGACTGCAACACACACATACATGAGAGGTGAGAGAAAGACGGAACTCGCACCAATGAGACTACAATACATACATACATGAGTTATGGAGCAATTAGGGAGGGATTGGTACATCACTAGGTGAGAGATAGACTAAACTTGCACTAATGAGACTGCAACACACACATACATGAGCTATGGAACGACTAGGAAGGAACCGGTACATCACCAAGTAAGAGAAAGACTGAACTTATATCAAAGAGACTACAACACATACATACATGAGCTATGAAGTAACTAGGAAGGAACCGCTATATCACCAAGTGAGAGAAAGACTCAACCTGTAACAAGGAGACTGCAACACATACATACGTGAGCTATGGAGCAACTAGGAAGGAACCGCCACATCACCATGTGAGAGAAATACTGAACTTGAACGAAAGAGACTATATCACACACATACATGATCTATGGAGCAACCAGGAAGGAACCGACACATGACCAAATAAGAGATAGACTGAACTTCTATCAAAGAGACTACAACACATACATACATGAGCTATGAAGTAACTAGAAAAAAACCACCGCATCACCAAGGGAGAGAAAGACTGAACTTGCAGCAAAGAGACGACAACACATACATACATGAGTTATACAACAACTATTAAGGATCCGCCACATCACCTAGTAAGTGAGAGAAAGACTGAGCTTGCACCAAAGAGACTACATCACATACATATATGAGCTATAGAGCAACTAGGAAGGAACCGCCAAATCACCAAGTGAGATAAAGACTGAACTTGCACCAAAGAGACTACAAGACATACATACATGTGTTATAGAGCAACTAGAAAGGAACCGCCAGATCACTAAGTGAGATAAAGACTGAGCTTGTACATAAGAGAGTACAACACATACATACATGAGCTATGGAACTAGGAAGTAACTGCCCCATCACCAAGTGAGAGAAAGGCTGAACTTGCACCAAGGAGGCTACAACACATACATACATGAACTATGGAACAATTGGGAAGGAACCATCATACCACCAAGTGAGAAAAATACCGAACTTGCACAAAAGAGGCTACAACACATACATACATGCTTTGTGGAGCAACTAGGAAGGAACTGCCACATCACCAAGTAAGAGAAAGACTGAACTTACACCAAAGAGGCTGCAACACATACATACATGAGTTGTGGAGCAACTAGGAAAGAACCGCTCCATCACGAAGTGAGAAAAATGTTGAACTTTGATCATAGAAACTACAACATATACATACATGAGTTATGGAGTAACTAGGAACAAACCGCGACGTCACCAAGTGAGAGAGAGACTAAACTTGCACCCAAGAGGCTACAGCATATACATACATGAGCTATGGAGCAACTAGGAAGGAACCGCCACATCACAAAGTGAGAGAAAGATTGAACTCGCACCAAGAGGCTACAACACATACATACATGAGCTATAGAGCAACTAGGAAGGAACCGCCATATCACAAAGTGAGAGAAACACTGAACTTGCACCAAAGAGGCTATAAGACATACATACTCTTTTCTCTAGCCGCATGACCCCACAACATGCCTGAAATCGAAAAAAAATGCATCGGCCAACTCCCAAGTATATAAAATACTCACTATTGGTTCCGGATGCATCTAAAACATATGTTTTTCCTTCCCCATGCAATCCGTTGTATCTCGGTTGCATGGACCCTTCATTTTTCTTGATTTTCTCTGCAAAATCAAGAAAAAATCAAGGTCCTTTGCAACCGCCATATCCCATAATGTATCTAGTCACGGATGTATCTCCCCAAGTGACCTTTTTTATCGTTAAGACTTTTTTTTTTTTTTTCCCCTCCATTTTCGGTCAGTAGGGACATGCTAGTCCCTACTGACAGCCAACTCACTCACTCCCTCTCACTCATTTTGTCTTATTCTTCCACCTTTATCTCTAAGTAGAAATTCCGGATATCCGGAAGCCCTCTGAATATCCGGTTTATCCGGCCGAAAAAATGGAACCGGATAATACCGGAAATAGTGTTTCCGGGGTCTGCGCAAAATATGCGCAGGGCTCGGATTTTTTTGGGGGGGGCCTGGCGGGGTACTAGGCGGCAACCCGAACACCCTCCCGCTGTCGGATTTCGCAAGGGGGCCTACCGATTTCGAAAAAAAAAAAGGCCCGATCTGGGCTGTTGATCGAGGACAATCTATGGTTCTGATCGGGCTTTTTTTGAATTCGAATTCGCGCAGCCCCCGTCTCGGACTGCGCTTGGTGTAGTGCCTGAGGCATGCCAGTCCCTCCCCACCAACGACCCGTCGCCCCACGGCCGCGCTGCCTGCTGGTCGTCACGTCCCCGAGCATCGCCGCCGCCTTCCCTTGCCATCGCCCAGCCTCGTTCTCCCTCGCCAGGTAAGACAGGTCGTCCCTCCTCCTCCTCCTCCTCCTCGTTCTCCTCCTCCTCCTCTTCTCCTCCCTCCTCTTCATCATTTTTTTTTTTTTTTTAATCAATCAATCAATCAATCAATCAAGAAAAAAAAACTAACAGAACGGAAAAAAAAAATCCAATCGAATCAGTGGATTCGATTGGATAATTTTTTTTCGTTCTGTTCGTTTTTTTTTTTCTTGATTGATTGATTGATTGATTGATTGATTGATTAATTAAAAAAAAAAAACTTGTGACCTCTCCACCTCCTCCCTCCTACTCTCTTACTCCTCCTCCCTCTCCTCCTCGTCCTCGTCTGCCTCTTGTTCGTCGTCGTCGTCGTCCTCCTCCTCCTCCTCCTCCTTCTCGCCATCCTCCTCCTCCTCCTCCTCCTTCTCGCCATCCTCTCCTTCTCCTCCTCCTCCTCCTCTTCTCCT